CTGAATAATGAGAGAATTATTTGAAAAACTTCAGAGCCAAAAAGGAATGGGGAGATGGAATGCGTGGACTGGCTCTCACCACAGCACAGTATTCTCTGCTAAAGGTTGTTTAGCAAACTTGGTAGCAAAAACATTTCACTGCATTTATTCGGTAGAAGTGTCACTGTAAGATCATCTCACCACGTACCGGCCAAGAAATTCAATATGCCAAAAATCAGTTATAAGAAAACTCCAAGTTCAAAGATTGTTGCAACAAGCGACAGTGGGGAGATAGATGCTCTTTGAAAGGCAACGTACAAGAAAGTCTGCAAACTCTAATTCTGAATCATAACGTCAAATTCATGTAAGAAGACTTGTAGACTATAAAACTGAAGCCAGTTTATCTTTTGAAAAATTGAATAATCATTCAATGTAGGTAGAGGACAAAGACCCACACCCAAAAAATTGGCGACCACAACTGCTGATCTGCTTATCCACTACATGGTCCAAAGATGTGATAGATTTGCGAGCAATGTCTATGTTGAATCTTGGAGCACAGCTAAAAGTAAGCGACGTAAGCAATTTCCTTATTGAGTACAGCATTTTCACAGGCTGGACAAGGACTAGCAATAGCATGTGCGTTTTTGAAAGGATCTGCTGACAGTGCTAAGGATAAGATACATGCAAAGCAGGTGACTTAGAAAGGCATTTTTTTCTTCGCAGTTCCAAAAAATATTCTTTCCAGGTCAAAGATCGCCTGACCAAAGATATGGCTAAAACGAGATTACGTGGATTCAGTAAAACAATCTTTTACATTCCAGAGCAGGTCGATCAGAATTTTGTTTACATTATACCCAAAATCCCCTACAAACTACTTTTCAGATGAGCGGATCTGTATCAGCACTATTTCAATCCATTGGAATAGGCGGCTTGCGCCCCAATACCATACTTCTAAGCTGGCCAAAAACTGGCGATCCAGAAGAGTTGGAACTTTTCACAGGTAAAATCACTCTAACTTCTTAAGCGGATCTAACCATAATTAATTTCTAGAAAAACTCATATATGGTGTGATTACCGAGAACTGTGTTTTGGTCGCAAAAG